GATGCCTCGGCCCCAATCCGCAGCTTCCCGGGGCGGCCCCATGCCGCCTGTCTGCTTAGCCCCTAACTGAAATAAAGAAGTTGGCAGCATGAGCTTTCATAGACTTTAGTATACATCCTCAGATGCATTATGCCACACTGGTTCTCCTTCCCATATGAGCACCTGAAACAGCATCATTGCTACTGTTGAAGCTAAGCAAGTCTGAAACTGGTAGGGGACTCTCCTGAAAATCCTATACACACTGCCATGTTCTTCCGAAAGGAAAAAGTAGGATAAAACTAATCCAGGAGTGGATAATGTGTGGCCTCCAGGTGATCTTGGACTGTTATTGGTTAAATCTGATAAATGTTCAATCCAGCAGAGTCTGGTGGGTTACATGTTGCCCACCCTAAACTATATTTTATACAGAGGTGAGCAACTATGGCCCTCCAAACCCACCCTCCCATGTTCTGTTAGCCCTAGCCAGTATAGTCAGTGGTGAGAGATGGAAATAGAACATTTGGAGGGCTGCAGTTGCTCAGCCCTGCCTAAAGATGTTACATGAGGAAACAGCTGTGCATCGAGGAGGTATAATTTGATTAATGGATTGGTAGAGATGTATAGAAACTCGAAATGTGTATAAGATGAATAACGAAAATAGACATATTTGGATGAGAATTGGTTAATTTTCATTAATCATTTGGGGATTAGATTTTGTTCCAATAGAAATTCAACAGTCAATATATTTTTAATAGTTCAGCTCTGTGGGTCACTAGAGCTCCAAGTGTAGTATTAAAACCAGGAATATTGTCATGTTAAATTTTCTGGAGACTAGAAGTCACAATGAGTCTGCTGGTGAAATTCCCTCTGAACATCGCTTGTTATGTTACGTAACTACAAAGTGTTTTGTAGACTTGACTGTGTGCTAAGACATTGCTGTGTTCGTCGTTTCAACAGAAAAAGATAATAAAAGAAGCCTGTAGCACTTTCAAAAGCTTCTATGAACTCTTAAGCCACTTGATCAGATGCATGGAGGAAAGCTTCTGTGAATAACACACACACACACACCAGTGGATGAGTGGGAAAAACTTGTCGGTGATGACTACAGCCCCTCCTTTATCAACCATTTTGATAATATTTGGATTGTTTCTGAAACTGTGCTAACATCTCATTCCTTACGGCTGAGATGTTGTGATAAATTATGTCTCTTGATTATCTCGGTTTGGGCAGGAGCATGCTGTGTAGAAATCCAATTCCATGCTTCAGTTGTCATGAAGAGTCCGCATAGATTTCTTCTTTTTTTGACACCGAGAAGTATTTTATTGGGTACTGATGTAATACTCATCAAAGTGTTATGTAGCTACCATATTTTCCGGCGTATAAGACAACCCGGCGTATAAGACGACCCCCTCATTTTTCCAGCTAAAATATAGAGTTTTAGCACCTCTATCCTCCTTATACCCGGCGTATAAGACGACCCCCCCCACTTTAACCACAGATTTTGCAGGTTAAAAAGTAGTCTTATATGCAGGAAAATAAGGCACTTTACATTATGGCCTTTTTGAGGAATGACATTTACTTGAAAATACTGTGTGTGTCTAAACAAAAGGTCCAGTTTGACTCACAGCCCTTTTCTGTGAGCATTAAATTTTTTTGCCTGGTGTTTGGGCTTGATCTTGAGTACAGAGATCACCCCCAAGATGTGTTGTATGTCTGAGTATAAAAGGATAAAGAGAAAAAGATTCTTCAGAAACTTTAAGACTAGGAAATTTCAAGCATCAGTTTTCATGGCCAGCGTGGCATAGTGGTTGGATTGTTGGACTGCAACTCGAGATCAGGGTTTGATTCCCTGCTTGGCCATGGAAACCCACTGGGTGACCTTGGGCAAGTCACATATTCTCAGCCTCAGGAGAAGGCAATGGCAAACCTCTGAACAAATCTGTATTTATTTTTAATTTATGTAATTTATATCCCTCCTCTCTCCCAAAATGGGATTTAAGGCAGCTAATCTTGTCAAGAAAACCCCATGATAGGGTCACCTTAGAGTCACCATAAGTCAGAAATGACTTGAAGGCATGCAACAACAGCCAAATTCACTTTTTCAGATGCATGGAGTGAAGCCTCTGGAGAGACCAAAAGGTGGGGCAG